ATGACTTTGTCGGTTCTGAAAAAAAAGACAAATTTTCTTTGAACAATATTTCTAAATGAATCACGTCGCTGAATGAAACGGGGGTTTGATCGAAAAGCCTGGTTTGATTGTGGTTATTTTTTGCAACATCCATTAGCTGTGCGTCTGTGGCGGCCTGGTTTAACAGGCCGACGACGCTGAGAGCAAAGCACAAGGCCTGATCGCTCTCCGGGGCTGAAATGAGATGAATGTGTGCGGAGCAGAGTCTTCGTCAATAGTCATCAGCGGTTGACGAGCCTGCGTGATAACCGCCCCCTCATCACAGCCTTGTGGAGGTGTAGGCGGAATAAAGTCCTGGCTTTCCTGAACGTCTCTGCTTGCTTCCTGTCCTTCTGGTGAAATAAGATATTTCTCAGCTGAAAGAGATATATCACGTTATTAAATTGCGTATAAAAATCACTTGCTGAGTTCGTTCAAAGCTCTGTTGAGCTGGCTGAATGCATCTTGCGGGGTTGGTGGTGGTGGTGTCTCGCATTTTAATTGAGAAAGAGGAATCTCACCATCCCATTCACCCTCGGACGATAAAACAACTGTGGCAAAAAAATAGACTAGATGTTGGTAGATTGATAAAACAATGAAAAGTGAAGTTTGAGTAAGTTTTCCACCTACTTACCTGACATCACGGTGTGTTTCTGATATGAGGGCCGAGATAATTCCTTTACATTTTATACCGTCTTTTAAAAAAAAAACTTGAATAGGAATGACGCGATTGGACGGTGAGACTGAATACAATTCCTACCCTTTCCAAAACAATACAATGAATTCTATTACCATTGTTAGCCCTTCTCCCGTGTGTGTGTGCGGCGTTGTATTTTTTAAGTTGTGTCCATCGGCTCTTCAAAATCCGTGCGCAACAATGGTTTTACCACAGGAATAAAATTGCCGTTACTATTCAACATATAGGATGAATGGCCTTGTCCCTGTAACTTGCTCGTTGAAACGTTTATGAAAAATCTGATGAGAGGTTAAGCCATTCTCATTGTTACGTAATTCAAATGTTGATTTCAGCAAAAGTACGTTTGTCAGATCAAAACTGATTTCTCCTCTCCTGTCTTTGAAAAGGATCTCTAAATAGCACAATGAAGGAATGGATGAGAGGAAATGGGGTAACTGAATAAAAGGGGACCTGCGTGAGGGGAGTGTCTGAATGTAAGGGGGTTGGCACCCCGTGGCTCTTCCACCCGTCTGATGCGGCTCTCTGTGCTTGTACAACAATGAATGAATGTTTAAATAAAATGTTTCATATTTTACTGCATTAATTTTATGTCTGTACGCCAAATCTAAATGTAAAGATTTGGCATACAGCAACACGTCGGACCAAAAAATATGCTAAAAATAGCAGTTTTTACACAACACGTTAGACTTTTTTGTCTTGTCTTGCCTGTTGTCCTTCAGGAGTGCTGCAGGAGGACACACGGGGATTTATGGGGGTTGGATGAGGAAAACGAAATAAAGAAAGTAAATCTGTATTTTGTGATCAGTTTAATTTGACATGAACACGACAAACACGCTTTCTTGACAATCTTTGTGAGTAAAAAAACGTGTAGAAATTAAAACGAACAACGTGTGTTATTAGGGAAATAGCGGGTGAGCGGTGTTGATGCAGGATTGCGAATGCGCCGTGAGCGGTTCTGATACATTTTGGGTCGCAGATGCTTGCAGCGCCGCTTCAACAGTGCGATGCCCTCACGAGGGACGAGCGTAATATCAAACACGCCAGAAGTCCGTGCGACCTCACGATTGCTGATCGGTAGCTGGTCACGTGGTGTTAATTGCCTCTCGTAACCTCCTGTACACTACACGACGCTCAGCGCAAAACTCGCCCCGATGTCGTGGATTCTCGCACGACTGGAAAATCGGCTCAAAAAAGTGAAAAAGTCGCACAGTGTACGCCCGGCTTTATAGAGAGTCAGGAATTTTCTGAAAGGGGGAAGTGCTTTAAATGTGTGTGTGTGTGTGTGTGTGTGTGTGTGTGTGTGTGTGTGTGTGTGTGTGTGTGTGTGTGTGTGTGTGTGTGTGTGTGTGTGTAATGACAGCTTCACTGTGAACTGACACTGCGTTCTGAAACTGATTAATACCTTTTAAAGAGCTGACCATGGTTGGAGGGAGGGATGAGTGGGTGTTACGTCATGTGGGAACGGACTGAGTTGACGCAAAAGCTCTACGGGGGTGACACATCAATTTCGACATAAGGTGGTTTGTATAAAACCAGTTCATACATTCAAGGCAGTTCATACATTCAAGGTACCTCATCAATCTATCTTGACATAAAGGGGGGTGCGGGGGGGGGGGGGGGGGGTGTCATAAAACAATAAAACTGTCATGTTTGATATAAGGGGATATGTGGGAGAGGTCACTAAAGGTCATAAAAGAACAGAGGTCTCAAGTCTGACGTCAGGGGGTGTGGGGGGTGAGGTCATAAAGGTCAAAGTACAATGGAGCTGTCAAAAGCTTGACGAAGGGTGGTTCATTACACTCTCTGCTGAGCTTCCTTATATTGGTGAATATTAAGCATGTTTTTGGGACAACTTTCTTGCTGGAAGTGCTCGTGGACCTGGTACCAGTCCGTTGGGTTCTAGTTGTGTGATGCATAAGAATAGTAATCTGGCATCCCCTGGTGGTGATATCTGGTCAGTGCATCTGAAAACAGATGGCAAAAACACACCCCACCCAAAAAATAAATAAAAACACCAGCTGCCACTGTTTAGATCTGGGCAATTCTATTCTGGGCCTCGAGGGCCGGTATCCAGCACATTTTAGTGGTTTCTCTGGTCCAACACATTAGATTAAGTGGTTGAATCACCTGCACAGCAGCTCATCAGGCTCTGTAGAAGCCTGCTAATCACCTGCTGATTCAGGTGTGTTGAATCAGGGTAAAAACTAAAACATGCGGGACACCGATCATCCAGACCCGGACTTGAACAGCCCTGGTTTAGATGGTCTCCCAGTCTAAGGCCTAGTCCACACGTAGCCGGGTTTTTTTTTTTAAACGAATATCCGCCCTTCCAAAAACTTGCATCCACACCACCTCGTTTTACAAAACAAACTCTGTCCACACGTACCCGGATAAATACGTTGTTATGGACACGCCAGACCTGTAGGCGGCAGTACTTCCCCCGTTCTTAACCTTGTCCTTCGTCTGTGGTCTTCCGCAAGGAGAAGTAATTCCGCTTGCAAAAACAAACAAGCAAAAAGCGCTTGGACAATTGATAAAGCGAGCGCAGCTCTGAGGGCATCCATGATGTCGGCTAGTGTAAACACAGGTCGCACACGTGATGTCAGCATTTTTTTGTCGCGGAAAGTGACGTTGCGGACCTTAAAACTCCGGTTTTGTCTGTCCACACGCAGACACCCAAAACGGAGAAAACACAGATCTTCACTTTGGCCGGAGTTTTTTTAAAAAGATCCGTTTTCGTGTGAAAAAACTCCGTTTTCGTGTGGATGACAGGCCAAAACGTAGAAAAATATCTACGTTTTGGCAGATCCCCGGCTACGTGTGGACAGGGCCTAAGTTGAATTACTGAAATAAATGGACTTTGGCATCACACTGTATATTTTTTCAGTTTCACCTGCACCAGGGCGTTTAATTCTCCTTCTGGTTGTAAACACAAACATAAGTTTAACCGAAAGTTATACAATTCTTAATGTGACTTTTAAAAAACTCTTTTGATCACAAAGAATGCTCAAACAGCATTAGGTTTTAGAAAAAGACGTCTTAAAGGCTCTTCGAGCACTGAGAACAAATTTAATGAAAGTTAAACAGAATTTATTACAGTTTGTGGGTCAAACGCTGCAAAGGTGATGGTTAACAGTTCAGGTGTGAGTGAAAGACGAAGGTAGAAATAACGACGGTGAAGAATTCATTTGTCTCTGGGGATCCAGTAAGATATGTCCATCTTGATTTAAACCCTGTCTTTCTATAGAGATTGAGGTATTTTTGGAGGATTTATTTTATTATTTTTTTGCAGGGTTGTTGAACCATTTGCTCGCCACAAGGCTTTGCACAGATTCAGAGCTTTCAGGAGTTGTGTCAGAGGTTTGTTTCATCTCATTTTTCTGCCGTGGTAAAGAAGAAAATACCAGCACCGGTGCTCAAGAGCTGTAAAAAAAGTTTTTTGTGTGCAACAGAATTACTCCAACCGTTCTGCACCTCTTTATTATTATTTAAATGCATTCTGCATATAAACCGGTAGCTCTTGTTTTGTTATTTTTGACCTTGTAAAAAGAAGAGCTCTCCTGTAGAAACGCGGTTCTTTAAATGGAACATTTTGCTATCGTCTCCATGATTCCTGACAAAGAAAAGATGAAGCTGAAGGCTTCAGCGTTGCTGTGAGGATCCAAACCTCATGTCTAAATAATCTGACCTTTTCTTGTGCAACTGTCTGTGAGAGGGAGTTCGAACAGGCAATTCGGTGTATTTTCTACAGAACACACACACATTTGTTCACTGAAGGACAAACACTTCTGATGCTAAAGAACTACAGCTCCCTCTATGGGCGACAGAACCACCACGTTCTGATGTCAGCTGCTTTCCCAGTCATGTTTTTGGGTTTTGTTGGCAGGAAGAATATAAATGAATGTTTTTAATTGATACCTGGCTTCAAATCAGCAAGTGTTTGGAACAAATTAAGAGCCGAATCTTCACAAAATCTCAATAAGGACTCCATGTTGTGGAGGAAAGTGTTTTTATTCCTCAAAACGAACCCAGAATCAAAGGGAAATTGTCCGAGGAGCGATGCAGCTGCTTACTGCGGCTGTCCTTTTGGATGTGAACGGTGTGGGTGGAGGGATAACACATTTCAGAGAGTGTGGAGAGGCTCAGGAGGGAGGCTTAAAGGAGGCTCACAGGTGGGCGAGAAACTAACTGGGTTTTATTTTACAGAAGTGAGAAAGAGGAGCAGAAAAAAAAGAGTGTTTATGAGGTGAGAAGGTTTGATGTTGTGTAACAAGTCTGCACAGCGTCGGGAAAATAACACAACATTTTATTTATGTTGACCTTAAACATTTTGGTAACACAGCTTTTAATATCAGGCATCTTCTCATGAATATAATAAACTTCAATTTCAATTAATTTCAGCAACTAACTTGAAGCTTCTTCAGTCAAGCCATTACTTCTTTACTCCCCTCGTGCTGATCTCAGACCTGCGGGTCACCTTAGACCGAGACTTCCTGTAACAGAGCAGCATAGAGTCGCAGATGAGACCGACAAAGAAGACGTTAAAGATGACAAATGCCCCTTTTCCAACAGCACTAAGTGTGACTTGGAGGGGTTCGGTAGGTTTGCACAGCCTTTTCCTGAAGCACCTGCTTTGTTGTGGTTCCGAGCATAACGAGGTTTCATCATGCACATCATGATGTTGAGTAAGCATTCATGGCTCATGACGAGGACGGCTGTGTTGATTTAACATCCAGGAGAGAGCAGAGCACTTCTTGGCTAGTAGAAGCTAACTGTTAGCATTAGCAACTCCTCAACATTACAGAACTCTTTCAGACTGGAGTCAGGGCTGCTAACTCTCACGCATCAGAATGCCTTCACAGACTCAAGTCAAAGGCAGCGTTAATACATCATCATAAAAGAAACATAACTTGACGGAACTAAAAATAAATAAATAAATAAAATGCTATGGTCAAACCCAAACATATAGACAACTCTGAGTTCAAACAGATTGTACAATGACAAAGGATTTCTTAAAACAACACTAAAGAATTTTTAAGACTTTAAGCTGTTGCTTTCAAACTATCTTCAGTGGTTCTTGAGCCACAAACTCAAAAACTTCACATTGGACAGCCCTCTGCTGACCAGAAACAGCGCTTACCTTTTGTGGTTTAGGTAGGAATACTAGTGGGAGGTCTCCTAGTCGTTGCTTAATAGCAATAGCTGTTTACTGTGCCAGTAGCTAAAATAAATGCTAGCATTTAGCTTTTCCGGTTCCCTGACCATCAATAAAAAGACTATCATGACAGAGACTGGACGTAGAAGTAATGTACGTAGAAGTAATGCCTTTAGAGGCAAAGCAAAGAGCTAAAACCAGAGTGAACATCAACATGGCCTACACTCATTTGAGGGAGCTGAAGGAGGCTATTAAATCATGGACTGATGGTGACCTGCCTTTGTTGCTTCTGGATTTGTAAGTAATATTTTTTCATCCAAAAATGTGGATCTTTATACTTTGTTGCTTAGTTAGCATCAGTCGGCTTGTGTTAGCTTTAGCTTGTTGTTAGTGCTAGCTGTAGCGTGTTGTTTACAATAGTTGAAATTCTGCTGTCAAGCAGTAGGAGGACGTAGGGAACTTATTTAGTGTTGCTTCGAGCCAGTATCTCAACTCTTGGTGACAATATGTCCAAAATGTCTTCAAATAGTCAGGCCATTGCAGGCCTCTGTAACTTTAATCAGCCTAGTTCGAGCCAGACACAGACAGGAAACAGAATGTTGAGGTTCTAAATAGTCGCTAAAAGCAGGAGCATCAGTTTTAAAACATACTTAAAAGCTGTGATGGTGAATAATAAGGTTTAGTGACACATCTTCACTAAAAAGAGAAGATTTGATTTAAGGTCATTCTCTGATCCCAGGTCAAGATGTACTTCCGTCCGATAGAGTCCCAGTTCTGACTGGTATAAACACTCTCTCTATCTGAGGTCAGACATCTCTGCTGCTGCTGCTTTCTTCTTATTAAATTTGATTTATGAAACACAAGCTGGCTCTTGATGCCTGTCTTGTTATGGCCGCAGGGCACGTGCAATATTTCTATGAACTTTACGCCTTAAATTCAGTCTTTATCAACTGACAGTCTTCAGTTAAGATCATTAAAACAAGACTGAGTTGAATTAGAATTAAGGACACTATTTAAGTAAATACAGAAGAGCTTTTATCACATAAAAGTGAAAGTCCTTTTTGGCCATTGTGATAAAAATGTAAAGAAAGGGTCAAAGGTTTATCTGTTATGACAGCAGTCATAAATCAAGTGTGTTCCAGCTCTTAGGAAGGAACTGCTGCCACATGGAAGGCTCATTCATTAACTTTATGTTTGGTTTATCCTGCATACTTCCTCTTTTAAAACTAAACATGTTTTTTTTTCTTTGCTCATCCAAAAATAAAATGTATTTATGTGTCTAAACCTGAACATTTATCCCATTTGTTGCCTGGAAAGTGCTTCCTTCACGTAAATATGCATTCATCAAACACCTAAAGCTGCTTCATTTCACCTCTGCTGCACTGAAAATGTGAGTAATTTGTTTCTTGGTAACACACAAACCACGCTGATTGCAAACTGACCTGTCTGTTGTTCCCTTGGTGAGGTTGCTATTGGAGACTGGAATTTTTCCAGGGGGTAACGTGGCTCTTAACATCCCTGCCGTGAGCTGGGTTCCTTCACACCTGCAGAGCAGTTTAACACAAATCACCTGGAAAGTCGAGGCAAAGAGATTCCATTTGGTCGTGTAAGCGGCGAGCTTACGGGTTCTCTGCAACTGGTGGGAGGTTATCGGGGAGTGCAGCAAGAGGAGGAGGCACCGTAGATGGAATAATTTCTGTGTTGTAGTCCACGGACCTACAGAAAACCACACATTACTGTATTTAACAGGCTAAGCAGAGAGGCCCAGGCTGCCCTCTCCTCGGCCACTTGGGCCAAATCTTTCGGGGGAATCCCAAGGCGTTCCCTGGCTAGCCGAGAAACATAGTCCCTCCAGCGTGTCCTGGGTCTTCCTTTAGATCTCCTCCTGGTTGGACATGCTTGGAACTCCTCACCAGGAAGTCCAGAAGGCATCCTTGGGGGCAGAAGTAGCTCAGGTGGTAGAGCGGGTTGCCCCATGATCACAGGGTCATGGGTTCGATTCCAGCTCCTGCCATGGGTATTCTGCTGTTGTGTCCTTGGGCAAGACACTTCACCCAACTTGCCAGTGTTGGTGGTGGTCAGAGGGACCGTTGGCGCCAAATGGCAGCCTCACCTCTCTCAGACCGCCCCAGGGCAGCTGTGTCTACAAAAGTAGCTTACCATCACTGGCAGTGTGAGAGTGTGTGAAAGCGTCTTTGAGTGTCCTAAAAAGCGCTAAACAAGTTCCATGCATTTTTGTTATCCTAAGCAGATGCCCGAGCCACCTCAACAGACTCCTCTGATAAAATGGTTCAAATCTGATGTTAGCCCAGATCTGGACAAGTGGGGGAGTAGAGGGAGGTGGAGGATAGTCGGTAAAGACGGCTCTCCCTTGCCCTGCCTCCATCTAAAAGGCTAGGTTATCCAGTTTTCTCTGTAGTTATGCTGCTATAGGCTTAGACTGCTAAAGGACACACTGACCACTTTCCACACTCGACTGCTTTCTTCTACAATTTGCTGTTTAACTGTATTATTTCCTGCTATTTCAGCTGTTAACTTTATTTTTTCTCTAAGTGTTTTTCTCCCCAGAAGAAGCTACAACGATGTTCTGCCGAGCTGTGGTGGCCTCATGGAGGGGGCCATCGGCTAGCACACTGCTGCTAACCACTTAAACATTCTCCTTCTCCTGATAACACTTTCCTTTCCTTGACATTGAATGTGCTACTACTAGTTTATCCTTTAATTATAGATTCACAAAGATAAATACAATAATTTTTATCGCTCACCAAATAGAATATTTACCAAGAAATCACAACGTAACCATAGAAACATTACTTGGTGTGTGTGTGTGTGTATGTGTGTGTGTGTGTGTGTGTGTGTGTGTGTGTGTGTGTGTGTGTGTGTGTGTGTGTGTGTGTGTGTGTGTGTGTGTGTCTGCTCTGTCTTCTCGATCCCCAGTGAGTCGTGGTGGATGGCTGCTTCTACTGAGCCAGGATCCTCTGGAGGTTTCTTCCTTTTAAAAGGGAGTTTTCCTCTCCACTGTCGCTAAATGCTTGCTTAGTATGAGGACTGTTGTAAAGACTCTGACACTAGTCAGTGACTCGATACAATTTGCTGGGTTCCTTATATAGGAAACTTTTTACTGATTGGCTTAATGAACTGTATTGGAATGTTTACTGTGTGAAATTACTTGGGACGACTCTTGTAATTTGATGTTATATAAATACATTTGAACTGAATAGAATTACGCATGAAGTTGTCCGAGAAATTTGTGATGGGAAAGAGCCAGGGGCATGATGCAAATGTGGTAGAATTATCACGGGGGCATTGTGAGAGCACAATTTCAAAGACACAAAAACAGAATGGAGGGAAAAGCATATTTGGTGAGTGTTTGGAAGACTGGTAATAAAATGTAATCCAGCTGCATTCCAATAGGTCATAGGGTCATAGGCTAAGGCAGCCTCAGGGTTGTTTAAAATCTAACGTTGTACAAGAAAAGTGAAGACAGATACCAGTTACAGGTACAATAAAAAAAAAAACCTCAGTCAAGGTTTGTTTATGGAAGCAATTATGGCATCGTGGGTAAAACATCCACCTCTCCTGGATGGTACGATTCAGATGTGGGGGTCTATGCAACTTTCTGTACTCACATTTCAAAAGCCTTACAAGATGTTCACAGGAATAAAAGAATAAAAATTCCAAGGCCTTGCAGCAGATCAGTGCTGACAGGCAGAAAGCAAATTTACCTCGCCAGGCGTCTCATTATGCAACACGGGGATGGAGAGAAAACAGGCGACAGGAGGGAAAGAAGATGCTCACGAACGCATTAGGAAAAATTACTCGAGCAATGTCTTAAACAAGGACTTGAAATAGCTCCACATCTTAAGGAATGTTGCCTCATTAGCTGTGAGATGCTTACTTTGGTACCTAAACAGCCATCGAGGAGGAAGTTCTGTGATGTGGGATAAATTGTAAAGTACATGCCTGGAGGCAAGTCAGCGGAGAAAGGTGTTTGCACAGGAAGTTGTGACAGAGCAGCCAACATGCTACTTCTTCACTGTCCTTTCAGACTAAAGACTGAATAAATCATTATTTTTCTGAGTGAAGGAGGAATGACCTACATTCTTTGGCTTAAATCAATGAAATCTAAACAAAAATACAAGTATTTCATGAGTCAGTGCCTTTTCCGGCCATTTAGGATAAATTTACAGATTAAATACAACCATTTTTGACAGGATATGTATAACAGGAATGTATTTTATAACAAATCTGGTTTAATACTTGAAATTTTAAATGGTGAACCACTCTAAGTGCAGAATGCTGTAAAAATGTATTTCCTCCAACCTCCATGAATGTGAAATGAGCTCCGGTGGATGAATTACAAGTTAGACAATCTGGCGACCTGGCAGGTGACGCAGGATGTGTAGATGTCACTTTTCCATATTTCATATGAGATGGCTGCGAGGAGTCATGTTGGCTGTACCTCTGTTTGCCAGGGGGTGCAATGGATACAGAAGCTGGTAATGATGGGTTTGTGTTTTGGCAATCGGACTGAAAACATGTTGGGGTTGAAATCCTCTTCAAAGAACATCGAGAAGCTACAAATATTAGTGCAGAAATTAGCATTAAATCTCTTACTGGATTATTTAGTTTCGTCTTAAGATTTGGCTAAAACAGGATCGTCCATCTGAGTCCGGGTACTTTATCATTTTATCTTTTAAGAACCCGTCACTTAGCGTCTTAGGAGCCTCACTGGGGTCTCAATCCCAACTTTTGGAATCAGCAAATTAATTTAAACATGTTCTAGGAGTCGTTAGATGGGTGTGAGGCTACAAAATATGGTAAATGTGTCAAAACTGTCATTTTAAAGTGGACAAAAGGATGAGTTCCAATGTGGAGCCATCATCAGGAAACACTGGATCACTCTATGTACTTTGAGAGCTCACTATTTGTTTAAAACTTTGCAAAAAAATCAACAATTTCCCATAGGAGGGAACCCAGTGGATCTTTTAGCTAAATACCCGATGAACAACTGGAGAGAGTTTAACAAAACTCCTAGAAGGTAATCAATGGATGTCCATCTTCATCTGATTACCTTTTGGGGCCAAATAAAGTAAAGGCCACCTAATCCAACTCCTAAGAAAACACAACAATGGTTAACTTTTGTCGGTTTAACAGACAGTTTTAAAGAGTTGGTGTAGTAGTTGTTGAGATTCAGTAATTACTTACTAATCACACAAGGTCTTTAACCTTTTGTTCTACTACTCAAAACAAAAACTGACAAATGGCAATGCTTTACCACAGTTAGATTGTCCAACATCGTTTTTAAAATAGACCTAAAGTAATTTTTCTTTAATATTTTAGATTATTAAATATTTCATAATTATGATATTGTGACTACATGCCTGACAAATTACAGCCTGATAATCACAGTAATTCAATTCTTAAGTCTTTAGACATTTGATCTTGTTGCAAATTATAGGTTTCACACAGACGGTTGGTTGGAATACATCTCTTGTTTTTGCAGCAGCTTAAACCGAGAAGGAAAATTATTTATGTTACTGATTAAACTGTAAAATCTAGTTATTAAACTGTAAAATCTAGTTGTATTAATGTAGCCTCCTATGGTGGCTTGGCTTTATTTGTAAATACAGGTGCTGGCCAGTAAATTAGAATATCATCAAAAGGTTGAAAATATTTCAGTAATTCCATTCAAAACGTGAAACTTGTACATTATATTCATGCAATGCACACAGACCAATGTATTTCCGATGTTTATTACGTTTAATTTTGATATTTATAGGTGACAACCAATGAAAACATCAAATCTGGTATCTCAGAAGATTAGAATATTCTAAAGGCCAATGAAAAAATGTTTGTTTCTCTAATGTTGGCCAACTGAAAAGAATGAACATGAAAAGAATGTGCATGTATAGCACTCAATACTTAGTCGGGGCTCCTTTTGCCTCAATAACTGCAGTAATGCGGCGTGGCATGGACTCGATCAGTCTGTGGCACTGCTCAGGTGTTATGAGAGCCCAGGTTGCTCTGATAGTCGTCTTCAGCTCCTCTGCATTGTTGGGTCTAGCGTATTGCATCCTCCGCTTCACAATACCCCATAGATTTTCTATGGGGTTAAGGTCAGGCGAGTTTGCTGGCCAATCAAGGACAGGGATACCATGGTCCTTGAACCAGGTGCTGGTGGTTTTGGCACTGTGTGCAGGTGCCAAGTCCTGTTGAAAGGTGAAGTCTGCATCCCCATAAAGTTGGTCAGCAGCAGGAAGCATGAAGTGCTCTAAAACTTCCTGGTAGACGGCTGCATTGACCCTGGACCTCAGGAAACAGAGTGGGCCAACACCGGCAGATGACATGGCACCCCACACCATCACTGACGGTGGAAACTTTACACTGGACCTCATGCAACGTGGATTCTGTGCTTCTCCGCTCTTCCTCCAGACTCTGGGTCCTTGATTTCCAAAGGAAATGCAGAACTTGCTTTCATCAGAAAACATAACTTTGGACCACTCAGCATCAGTCCAGTCCTTTTTGTCCTTGGCCCAGGCGAGACGCTTCTTGCGCTGTTTCTTGTTCAAGAGTGGCTTGACACACGGAATGCGACACCTGAATCCCATGTCTTTCATGAGTCTCCTCGTGGTGGTTCTTGAAGCGCTGACTCCAGCTGCAGTCCACTCTTTGTGGATCTCCCCCACATTTTTGAATGGGTTTGTCGTCACAAT